AATCTATGTACCAAGTTTGAATGACAACTGACAAAGCATGTCCAAAATACAACATTTTCAAAAAACCAGATGGCTGCCAGTCGGCCATTTTGAATTGAATCGCTAAACCACTGCATGTGCATATGTCCCACATAAGGTACTAGGCACATGCAAAGAATGAACGGAATCGGTCCACAGGATTCTGAAATATGACGTTGGATAGACTGACAGACGGACACACAGACGGTCGGACAGACAAACTCAGGAACTCACGGACGGTCGGGGACATGTATCATAACATGTATGATCTATGTACTAAATTTGAATGAAAACTGACAAAGCATGTCCAAAATACAACATTTTCAAAAAATAAGATGGCTGCCAGTCAGCCATCTTTGATCCAATTGTGAAATAAGTCATCATGGACATGTATCCTAACATGTATAATCTATGTACCAAGTTTGAATGAAAACTGACAAAGCATGTTCAAAATACAACATTTTCAAAAAAACAAGATGGCTGCCAGTCGGCCATTTTGAATCGAATCGCTAAACCACTGCATGTGCATATGTCCCACATAAAGTACTAGGCACATGCAAAGAATGAACAGAATCGGTCCAAGGGATTCTGAGATATGACTCCGGACGGACGCACGGACGAACGGAGACCGAATTATAAGTCTAATTATAAGACTAATAATAATAATAAAAAAGAAATAAATAGTAATACTGTGAAAATATTATTATATAAATATTTTTTGGTGTTATTTTGAGGCAGCTGGTAAATTGCTTTTCATGAAATTCTCTCTTTTATTGAAACAGTCGCTGATAAGCTTGGCAATTGCTTGGACGGTTTCAGAATTTTTGTTATTGAGAAGTGCTTTCAGATTACCGGACAAGTTTACGTTTTCAAACAAAGCATCTCTTTCAAATTTTTACTGGTTACAATTGAAGAGGAAGTGTTCTTCGTCTTCAATTTCATTGGAGTCACAGACAGGGCATGTTCTATTTAAAATATCTATGTTGTGATATCGCCCAACTTCAATCTGAAGTATGTGGGCACTTATCCTCAGTTTAGTCATAGATGATCTGTGGATGGGGTTTTTAATAATTTCAAGGTATTTTTCAAGTGCAAAATCAGTTTTCAGCTGCCTGTAGGTACGAAGTTTATTTTTGTGATTAGTGCCTTTATTGTCATTATGCATTGTTTCTGCGCAGTGTTTCTCAAACATATTTTTTAGTTTTTTTGTAGCTAATGGGATAATACTGGTTTTTTCGCAAACATCACTAATTTCTATAAGGTTCAGTAATTTTTTTATGCCTGTGGTCCAATTACTGACGTTTTCTTTGTCCAAATTGGTGCCAAGTTTGTAGGCCTCAGAGATCAGAGTGGTTTCATCCATATGTTTTATTTTCAGCCAGTATAATCATACGTTAATCTCGCAATTGTATTTTGCCTACAACTTGACATACAAATCCTTTTCATTTAATTAAATGAATAGTTTATTAAGTGAACTACTACGTTGATTGCGTGCATTAATACGTCACAATATGCAGTTATTACGTTTTACGCGCGTTCTCATCCCTCTCAGATAATGATACGGTCCAAATCGCGCGCACACTCAAATCATTCGTGCCATGCGTATATGCTAAGATTTTTGTAATTCAGTTAGCT